ACATCGACGAAGTCGACCTCTATGACAATGGGAACTTGGTGGTTCCCAAGAGTTACTCCGCATCACTGGTCTGCCGAACCGACTCGGAACACAGCCATGGCCGATGGTTCGAGGAAGATATTCGACAGATTTCAAATACCGATATGCCCAGAAAGTACGCAACACTGCAAAAGCATCCCTTGGCGGCTTCAGGAGTAGCGCATTGTTGTACACGACTGGTGATTTAGCCGACAGCCGTTGTGATGCTCGTGATTGAGTGGCTCGAAGATTCAAGGACATCGATGACCCGATCAAATGCCATCAGAATAGGCGAGCCCTTGTACACGTCATGTTACTATGCATTGGCATAGGGTCCGGAAGTCTGTGCTGCCGTTACATGATCTTCGCGATATGCCCGAAATATGCTTTCGTCAAGATTGAACTTGTGCATTGTCGACATATCATCGAGTCCTCACTTGAAGGGTCCATCACTGCTGGGGGAAGCCTGGTCACCCTTTACAGTACTGAAGCATGAGCTTGTAAGGCTTGGGAGAATGTAGGCCATGATGAAACTGGCTGCACACTGGCCTATATACCTGATGAGAAGATGCAAGATGATACGTCGCCTTAGATTCGCAGCAGCATCCTTCAAAGAGGAGCTTTCCTCGGTGAAAGAAACGACACACTTGGATGCTGGCCTGGCGCTATGTGGGGAATAGAGCGGTAGAATATATATTATGTTTGACCCCCTGTCTTCAACAACCATCCGAACTGGTGTATCGGTTAACATTTGTCGCTTTCATTCGAGAGTACCGACAGGCGCGGGGTTCGATTCCCCGGTTCGGAATCTTTTTACTTTTTGACCCACCGTCCTACGACTCAATTGTTTGCGCCCAAGTCTGAGGCTTTTACATATTCAATTCTTTTACGGCAATTGGAGATCTGCAATGCCCTTTGAGCCAGACTTTAGCTGTGTTGTGCGTGAAGCGTATGATGCGTTCCTCGGGCTGAGGAGGGGGATTGGTGAACCCTGCCAACCTTCCCAGCCGACATTGAAGATAAATCATATCTGTCTGAAGTAAACACTTATATCAGCTGAATGGATCAATTGTTCATAGCCTGGTAGACAGGTAAATCTCAGACAAGCAGTATCCATCTCATGGCAGGGAACAGCCGTTTTAGCATCCTTTCTCCTGACGTCACATCCTTTTGGAACACGCATTGCTTTTGATTTTGTGAATCTTTTGCTTCATCGACTATTACAACAGTAATGACATTCAAAGACTTTGTGCTCATGATGTTATCATAACCTTACCTGTTTCAATACTGACGAGCCTGGATGATGAGGTAATCAATGTAAGGCGACCTTGTGGCAGGTTACTTACACGGGTTGGTCCTGATCTCCCCTGGCGGCCTGTCATTCTTATTGATAACCAGTCGCGACTTACACACCTACATACCTACTCAGGTACATAACAGACATCAGCTTGCGGAGAATCCATACAACGAGTAGGCAAACTCGGGAAGTGGTACCTGCCCTATGGCAAGGAAAATAATGAGCAAAAACGGATTCTCTCACCTCGCCGTCTTTGACGACGCCAACCGTCGTCTGCGTACCAGATATTTTGTCAACACGTCTTCCTCGACCACAGCCTCTACCTGACTTGGCACACTACTGAGTACTCACCCAAGC